CTCTTTTTCTGTCCTACCTGTTTATTATCTTCCTGCATCTCCTCTCAATCCTAAAGAAAAACTGTTACCTGGGTTCATATATATTCACCTTATGAGTTACCTTTGAACTGCAGTTCTAAAAGATCTACCGACCGCAAAAACAGCGGAGTGCTCGCTGTTTGGCGGCCGTATCAGTGATCAGTGCGTTGGAGGACAAGGTGCGCGCAGCGCCCCGCTCCACAGCATGCGGCGATACGCATCAGGCGCAAATAAAAGACAGAAAACATTAAAGGAAATGAACTGACATGAACAATCGCGTGTTAAATTAGTTTTTGAGGTGGCGACACCTGATTGTTACTGTGGCCGCTCAGCAGGCAGATCTACCAACCGCGAAAACAGCGGAGCTCTCCCTGCTTGGCGGCCGTATCAGTGATCTGTGCGTCGGAGGACAAGTTGATGCGCCCCGCTCCACAGCAGCGATACACATCAGGCGCAAATAAAAGACAGAAAACATTAAAGGAAATGAACCGACATGAATGATCGCGTGTCAGTACCTACGGTCTGGCACAGCGCGTTCCCCCCCCCCCCCCCCCCCCCCCCCCCCCCCCCCCCCGAGCGCAGGAGCTTGTCACCTGCTGACAGCAGGCTGCTGTCTTTTCCGAGGGCTGCATCTTGCCGGTCATTATCACGTGACAGCGACTAGTCGACGGCAGGCATAAAAAGTCACTTTAGTGAAGTTGACTAGTTCATACACCCCCTACTGCTGCTCTCCAGAGTGTTCTGCAGCATAATCAGCACGTTCTCTTTGAACTTGATAGTGTAATGACCTGGCTGGGGTTGTAAGCCAGGTGCATTCTAGGTATTGTGTTATATGTGTTTCCTATCGTTCTGCTAGTTCCTATGTGTTTATTTGCGTGTTGTGTGAGTGTTATGTAAGCCACAGGGAAGGTGATGTGTGTTCTGTGGAGCGGGTTGAATTAGCATGGTTAACTGACACCGTGACTCTGTGTGGTAGGAGTGTGATAGAGGATCGTGTCTGTAGCGTTACAACGCGTTGAAGAAAAAGCCTATTAAAGGTCTGCGTGAACCTCTACTGCCTCCTGCTGGTAGATTTGGGGAATATAACCCTGCCGCTGAGACGATCATGCTTGCTTGTTACCACAATCCACTCGGCCACAAAAGAGACCGGCCATTATTTACCTCAGCTGACTCCAATATTTACCTCAGCTGACTCCGACACGGATTTACGGTATGTATATATATATATATATATATATATATATATATACTGTAAATATAAGAATATATATATATATTTATATATATGTATATATAACAGTTATAAACAAAATAAACCAAAGAAGGGATGAGTGAAATGTGTTCATGACACTGAAGCACCAAAAACAGTGTTCTTGATTGATACGCAGTAAACATAACATGATACCAATAAAGTAATAAATATTATATAGATACATGCATAGTTATGTATGTCTACATAGGAATACATATGTATCATGAACAAAAACAACACTAAAAAAATAAGACAACAACATAATAAAAACAACAAAAATCTGCAAATGTGATGCAATCCAATATGGCTGCTACCTGATGATGTCATAATATGCAAATTTTGTTAGTGAATTTGTTCCTATCACAAAATTTGGCTCATACTGAAGATTTTTCTAATTTACAATATTCCTCTATCTCTAACCAGATTTAAGCTACAAGCTCTTTAAATAGTGATATAAAAAAATTCATATTTTCTGAAAAAACTATGGCGCCTAAAGGGTTAAGTACAAAACATTTTTCTAGCTATTTTTATAAAGGTTTTTAAAACTTAGCACCTATACATTTTACAACAACAAGAAACTGCATACAAAACACACCACACCCTTCTCCTATGATCTCTCCCGGAACCTTTAAAGAGTGTCTGGACCCTGAGGGAAACATTTGCCCAAACCATCGACATACATATATGGACAATGGGTTTCCATAGACTCCAATAACACGTTTTTGTACTAAAATGGGAGGTGGCCACCACCGCCATTTTGACCGTGTCACAGATTCCGTCAAGCCCAGAAAATTCCATAAAAGGGAAGAGAGGAGGAGCTGAGGGTGGGGCTGTAAGGCTGGGATCAACTGACGACACCCGGTCGAACTAGCTACAAGCTAACCTGAAGCTAACGCAAAGCTAATGCGGAGGTGGGAGCTAAGCTAACGGAGGTAGCAACCTAGCTACAACCAGAGTTAACTGTGCACAACACCAGAGCTTCTGAGTCAGAGATACGCCGGGCTGACCGCTGGGTAAAACCGGGTGGAACACAGGTCTCCTGAGACCTCCACAAGCCGGCAGCCGCACAGCAGACAAGCGCCTCTGCGATCTGAGATGCACAGAGCTGCCGCTGGGGAGAACCGGGGGGAAAGGTTTCCATCCCAGAGCTCCACAAGCCGTCAGCCCGCGCAGCAGACAGAAGCCGCGATCAGACAGAGATGCACCAAGCTGCGGAGAGGGGAGAAACGGGTGGAAAACATCGGTCTCCCGAGAGCTCCACAAGCCGATAGTCAGAACCCAGCTCCACCAACATGTTATATTTCAACCCATTTTCTAAAGTGCAGCATTATGTTAAATGCACTGGGTTTTACCCTATTACATTTAAATTTCATGGTTAAACAGTACATGTTAAAATCTAAGCTCAGCTCGGCAGTGACCTAAAATACATAAATATAATTTTACTTACCAAAAACAATGAAGTGGAGACTTTGGACGCTCTATTAGTGCAATTAATGCCACAGCAAGTCATTTTGTCCAACAATTGCACAAAAAATATCCAGAAAAGAATACACAAACACAGAGACTCAAAACCCCAGGACAGTTTCCAAGCCAGACCGAGGCTCTACTGAGGCCTTTCCCCGGAGCTAGCTCTGCGGTCACGTGTGTCGGATGCTCATTAATTATACAGAATTTTAGGCTTTTAATACACTTAAACAGAAGAGTGAGAAAAAAAATTTCACCCCCCTCAGAGTTGTCACGAGTGTAAGCTAGATAATTTAAACAAAAAACATGTTTTGGTACCAGGCTGTAAACATGTTTATTTCTGCTGTGAAATTGGTATTTTTAACATGGGAGTCAATGAGGATTTGCTCGCTTCTGACACCAGCCCCTAGTGGATGAGGGTGGAACTGCAGTTTTTGGTACTTCCGGTGTCGGTACAGGATCTGCTCGGGTGCAAGATCGGCTCGGGGTCCGTCGACTGCCGATGACGTCTAAGTAGTTGATTGGCTGAACATGAACCTCACGGAATTACGTAATCACGTTACGTTGTTATCACGTTACGTTGGTCCAGGCAAATCTTTCTATTGGAAAGATGGACAACTTTTACAAAGAAATCCATCATTACCTCTTTGAAAATACACTTTTAGCATAGAGCTGCATGTATATTAGGGCTGAACGATTAACTGCATGTGCAATTAAATTGCGATGTGACAAAAGGAGATTTTCTAATCTCAAAGGCTGCAATTTGGCAGCGAGCGGTTAGCGCAATGCTAATATACATGGAAAAACCCATAGGAATGCTAATGCTAATATCGCTGATTACATTATTACAAATTATGAATTAGAAACGTGCCAAATGATTACATTTGGAGTCTAATAGAAAGTAAAAATACCATCAATCAAATAAGTACAGAAAGATATTTTAGTAAAGCCGGGAGATTTTCTAATCTCAAAGGCTGCAATTTGGCAGCGAGTGGTTAGCGCAATGCTAATATACATGGAAAAACCCATAGGAATGCTAATGCTAATATCGCCGATTACATTATTGCAAATTATGAATTAGAAACGTGCCAAATGATTACATTTGGAGTCTAATAGAAAGTAAAAATACCATCAATCAAATAAGTACAGACAGGTATTTTAGTAAAGCCAGAAAACTTTTAATTCCAGAGTTTTAGCTAGCAGCTATGAGCGTAACTGAACTACATGGACAAGACGTCAAAAACTCTAACAAAATACTTAAATAAACGGGACACACTTCTTTCCTGCAAATACAATTTCACAGGTGTTGCTAATACCTATGATCCTTCAAGGGATGTGCTCAAAGAGGAGTTCAACATTATGAATAAAATAGTGTTTTATTTTACAAATACCATTATAAACACAAACTTACGTCTTAAGAAACATTATTTTAATAACGAAACTGCTAAATTCTTTTCAACAGTATAGATGTGTAGTGTATTTTGTCCGAGTGGGTTTGCCGTACATTGACGTCATCGGCACTCGAAGGACCCCGAGCCGATCTTGCACCCGAGCAGATACTGTACCGACACAAGGTTGAGACCAATTTTAGGGCCGCATTGTGGGGGCTTGGCCCAAACACCCTGTAGAGGCCAAAGAAACAGGTGAGAAACACTTTAGCAACCTCTTTGCACTCACTTCCAACATTCTAATTTACACTGCCTTTGCTTAAAGCTGAAAATCAGTGGACCTTTTCCCCCCCTCTGTCCTCACAGGCAACCACCACAATTCTCCACGAGGAGCACCTGTGCAGGACCTGGAACAAAGACTACATCCTCATTATTAAAATGCTAAAGACTCAATGAAAAAACTTCTTGATGTGCAAGTTCATGCTTAAAGTGCAGTGCTAAATAAAGTACTGAAGTGCCTTCACCAAAGTGCAAGTATTTATTTAAAGTGCTGTACAAACAATAGAAAACCCCTGTAATGAAGATCCCTTCATTACACCCTGCAAGAAATGTATTTTTCAGTTCTCAAAGCAAGATGAAACAAAGTCAAGCAGAACAACACACCATTTTTTTTTCAACTAAATAAAAGATTAAACAAAAACAAAACATTTTATAACAAAGAAACATTGGCAGAAACCCTACATTTAACAAATTTCTGTTAATAAATAGATTTATCGCAACTTTGTTTTAATCTGAAAGTGTCACCCATTTGGTTGTGCTATTTAAATTTAGCTTTATTTTGAAATCCTCGTACCGGAAGCTGCACGCTCTAGCCTCAGAAGGGGGGAGAGGCAGCCGCCGCCGCTGCTCTCCTCCTCTCCTCACAAATGCTGCTGGTAACAAAGACGAGACAACAACGAGGCCGGGTGCTCACACAGCCAGCCTTCCACCGCGACATCAATCAATTAAACCCAGTTTCTTTTCTGAGACTTTTATTTTACTTCCCAACGGCGGTTTTACTTTTCCTGGAGAGGACTTACCCTGAGCCCGGTAAAAAACCCGAATCTTAGCCGCACTACAGCATGTTGGACCGCAGACAGTAGACCCGAATACCTGAAGAGGATCTCTCGAACGTGCCGGGGCCACTCTGGTAAGATTTTGCCTTTTATGTTTAAAAATGTGAATATTTAGTAGTTAGACTGGTAGTTTTAGCAGGTGCACTTTGGTGGAGGGGTCTGGTGGTGCACCTGTTCAGGTCTTTCTCCTAAAAATAATAGTTTTCATTCCTGTTTGAGATCCATTTTATCTTCAGGCAACTTTTTAAAGAGACCTTGTCCCGTTAGTGCAAGTAACAAAACAGTAGTTACGTATCCGGCAAACATCTTCAGTTTTGGTTCTTTAAAACGCTGAAATCTGTTTTATACATCTAAATGAGTATTTTCCACAAGGGTAGATCTAAACTATCAATTTTAATATCTTATACTAGATTCGTTGTCTTTCTAAATAGGAAGTTTCTCTTTTTATTATCCATCCTTTCCCAACATTCCCACCCTTCCTGAGACACCTTTCCCATCTTCCCGTGTCCATATCATATCTGTCAACACACCAGATGGCTGCTGTGCCCCACATGCACACACAAAGGATTCCCCCCCGGATCACAGCATATCAATACACTAAAACACGACGCTATTGAACAAACTAGGTCAACAAAGTGAAAGGAGACAAAGAGGGAAAATCTCGTCAAACATCAAGTGTCACATTTTGTCTTTCCCCTCCATGAATGAATGAACACACCCATTAGTTTGGAGTTTATGTGTCACTCCTTATTGTTATAGTGATTAAAGTGAAACCTGGGAAGACCTCCTCTCTCTCTCTCTCTCTCTCTCTCTCTCTCTCACACACACACACACACACACACACACGCACGCACGCACACACACACACACACACCTGAGAGTTGTCTTAATTCTTAAAAAAGTATCTCAAAATGTTGTAAATAATGAATAATCAGCTTAATGTTGTCATTTTTAAACAGTTTGTTGGTTCTGGAGACATTTTTCTGTCTGACTGAAACACGAAACTATTTTTATTGGTAGTTAGCATATCCCTCCCAAACTGGTCTGACATGCTGGGGCCCTTTTTTTCTCCAGCTACTGGCTTGAACAGCTTGAACTTATTGACATTAACTTTGAAGCCAAGGACCCAGTGTACAAGATTCATGGCTGGAATCATTCGTCACGCCTGTTGATGGTTTTCTTACAACTTTATAACACTTTGGTTCAGTCTCTTTGAAGTTAATGACTGTGCCAAACGACTGCAAAATAACTCGCAGTGATAAACCGGTAACAACTATATAGTTTCAGCAGCTTTAAGGAGATTATGGTGAAAAAATTAGAAATGGCCTGAATTTGTACTTTCTTAGGGTTCTACAACCCCCAAGACGCCAACACAGTCAGTCATTTCACCCATTCACACACACATTCACACGCTGGTTTTTATACACTGGATTATAAATGTTCAAACATATTTGTTATCTCAATTTAATAATCTTATAACACCTATATTTTTTATTCGAAAGCACCTTTGATCTCCTGTTGTTTCAATTTTACAACCAACTTAGTCAGATTTTTGCCTCGTGGATAAATGAGGTGTGATTCGGGTATCTTTTCAGTCCAGAAATGCTGACATCATTCCCTTTTTATTGTTTTTACAACAACTTATTTAGTATTTTGATTACAATCTAGCAGAAAGGGTTAATTTTTTTTGTGGTTTGTGTTGGTATATTTTTAGAAATTAGGTCAACTGATCAACAAACAAATCTTACTTCTTTTCATGTGATAAACATAATTCTTTAAATTAAAAATTAACACTGAAAAGACATGAAAATGTATGTGGGAGAGAACTCTCTAAACAAACATGAATATATTGCTGTGGTTTTCCTGTTTGTTAATCAACTAATTATGCAAAATAATGGTCAATATGGATTATGAATATTATTTAGTAATTAGGGATGTCCTGATACAACTTTTTCACTTTTGATACGATACAGATATTGCTGCCTTCAGTATTGATCGATACGATATCAATTCAACACGATATCAGCACAAATCATACATATACTTTCACCTGTTTTGTACTGTGGAATGCATGAAAGGCTTGATCAAGTGATATTACTCAATCGGAGAACAAGAGCAAATAACAGTAAGTATGAAAAAAATGACTATTTTTTCTTATCCATTGAATGCAAGAATGTGAACCTTTACGGACTGCTTATATCAGATTTTTGATGCAGTCCAATATGATCTGATATACTGTTTTTAGGCCAATATTGAATGTCTTCCGATTGTCATGGTCTGCGTCTGCGTCTCCCTCGTGTGTCTCCGTGTGCTCCATCCCTCTCTAAGGATCCCCTTATGTGTCTTCTTGTGTTCCTCATGTGTTCCCTGGTCTGCAGCCCCTCCAGGTTATCCCTCCCAGGTCCTGTGCTCCCGTTGGTCTCTCCTAGTCACCCCTCTGCAGTTTTTCTATAGGTTCAGCTTTTCATATAATTAGTCTCTTTTTAGTGTGTTTCTTTACCCACCAGTTTTTTAGTTTTTCCTTCCTCCTTTGAACACTAGTTTTTTATCTTGCTCTTCTCGTCTTTAGGTTTTGTTTTTGTTTTTAGGTCATGTTAGTTTCCCCTCCTCAGCTCACTTTCCTCTCCCTGATTAGTTCATTGTTTTCACTAGGTTTCTCTCCCCACGCACCTTTAGCTTATCTCCCACTCATCCTGCCCCAGTATATTTAACCCTGTCTGCGTCTCAGTGTGTTGTTGGGTCATTGTTTGTGTCAGCCTCGTCTCATTCCCCTCTCTTGGTATTTGAATCTCTCTTGGTCTTTTGGATATCTCTAGGTTTTGTTATTAGGAATTTTTGGTTTTTGGTTTTTGGCTTCCTGCCTCTTTTTTTTAATTTACTCTGTCATAAAGGATTTTTACGTTTTTTCTACCAACCCTCTGCATCTTTGGGACCTAACCTCCTCTTGGCTCACAACGTGACACCGATATCGATATCAGAACGGGACATCCCTAATATTAACAGTTAACACAGTTAATTTACACGATGACGTCACTTTCGTGAAGCGCATTTGTAGTCCTGGACTTATTTTCACACAAAACCTAAAATAACATTTCCCCCGTTCAAAAATAAGCGCGTTCTTGGTATCAAAATGTGTCTTTAAAATTCACGGACATCATGTGTGAAATCCATGGTACAAAACAAGCAGAATTAGAAAATAGCGTTTTTAGTCCCGTTGACTTGCATTCATTTTTTCGTTCTTCCGGGGACCCGTGGTGCGGAAGTAGGTGGGCGTGACTTAGTCTCCCTATGCTAAACATTTAAAGAGTTTACCAATTCAGCAAAAACTAACACTATTCGGTTTAAAATCTACTTCATATTTACAATTTCTGCATTTTTATTAACTATAAATCTTACCTCAAGCTAAAGGGATCTGCATTGAAACTAAGCTAACAAATAGTCATGGTAATGCATAAAGTCTGTATAATATTTAGCTGATTTTTGGGCCAATTTTCATGTAAATGAATACATATGTCTGTTGATAAGAATATTTAAAGCGTTTATTAAGTAGGTGTTATTCAGGAACAAACACAGACATTTAAATAAGACAGCAGTCCCGGGCTGTCCGCGGATGTGCCCGACTTTAAGTCTGCTCTACTACAGAAGGTTTTCTTCCTATGCAATAGATAAAAAATGTTTAATATTGATCTCTCCCTATTCATGACACAACTTTTACATACCATGCACATAGAAGTACCAGTTTATTTAAGTATAGGAAATTAAGAGTTAGACTATATCCCTGTATCGGATAAAAAAGGTCAACATTGAACATCCATAAATAGTTCGATGTGTAACTTGTGCCCCTGCTCATTTTGAGTCCTCTCATCTATAGTTGGGTCCCAGAAGAATCAAGTAAAGCAGTCTAATAATCAGAAACATTGTGGTTAACCCACTGTTTTCCATTTCTACTCGTCTACAATTCCTGGTTTAAGAATCTGCTTCTTGCTCCTCATAACTCTCTTCAGATCAAGTACTTATGATGCACTCTGTACTCACACAACAGTAAATATGTACGTTATCCTTAAATGGGATCTACGTTGTACAGTGCCGTGACTTCGCCTTTGAAAGGCGCCTTTCTAAATCACCTTTACTTATTTACTCATGGATTTGTTTTGACTGGGATATTTTTTATTTACTAGATGTATTGTTTATTGAACCACCATGCCATAGCTTTTCTTTTGTTCTGTGTAATTCTAAGAATTTGCAGCCATATTTATTCCTTCTGAAATCTCACAAAGCGACACATGACTCAGAGGATGACTAACCCTGGTTTGGTTTGGGATTACATCCGCTGAGCTGTCTGACATGTATTAAATAATACACACATGCTGAGGAGAAGGTGCAGCATGGTTTTTGGTCACCCAAAGCAATCAGCTTAGGCCTTCAATTTTATTTTAGGGGTTAAATTAGATTAAGTCAAATTATTAGCAGTGATAATTACTTTTTTAATCTTGTTATTTTTTAAATTTTGTTCTCTTGATTTTCATCTTGAGAGGCGCTATATAAAAGGTTGTTTCTTGTAATTGTGAGCTATCAGTCAAGTACGTAAATCGGGATTAGTTTCGAGAAAGTGACGAAACACACACAGTGAAAATATTTCAGTTGTTAAAACGTAATTAAAGTTTCATTCCAAACACACCTAAAGAATAAGGAATGAAGTCCAAATTTTTGTTTAGCACAGTTGTGGCTGAACAGTAAAAAGGGTGGAGTGACTCTAAACACGTTTCGTTTAAAATTTTATCGTCGCAAATACGATTGTTTTTTAACTTAGTTTTTAAAACTTTTAAAATTATTGTTTAATATTTATAAAACAAAACTTTACATGAACACATTTTATTTTACCTTATATATGACAGTAAAACAAAATACATCAAACTTATATAGCGCTTTTTAGGACACTCAAAGACGCTTGCATGCACTCTCACATTCACACACTGCCAGTGATGGAAAGCTACTTTGTAGCCACAGCCGCCCTGGGGCGGTCTGACAGAGGCGAGGCTGCCTAACCCTACACCAAAGATCATGGAGTGATGCTACAGTTTGTAGCACAGATGAATGAAACTGTGGCAAGTGGTTGTTACATATAATCAAACCACAGCCATGATAATCACTAATCAGTTTATAATTTAATGTTCCATCTTTATAAATGGAAGGTTGAAGCGTTCCTTAAAGGAAATCGTTTTAGACCAAGTGATGTTGAGGAATGATGGGGTTCTAGCTGTTTTGAGATCTCAAATGCCGTCACACACTTTGTCACACACACGTTTCTTGAATATTTTGCAGCTAATAACACATCAGAACCACTAATTGTGTCAACTTTTATGCTTGATTAGCCACATCTTATTGGGTTGACCCAAAAAGTTAACGGTGCAGTATGTAAGAATATAGTGAGAATTTTACAGTGAGAAAATCCCCAAAGAGTCTTAATTCTTCAGTCATTTAGGAAGGGAGGATATACTGAAACATAGTTCATATCCAGCTGGCTTTTTTTCTCCTTTCTAAACAAAGGAAGGAGGGCCTTGACTACTGTTTACCATCAGTGCGTGTGGGGGTGCCGTGTCTCCTGTGAGCTAATGCTGCCGCACCCACAATTGTAATTTGATGACGACTGGCAAAAAGCTGTTAAAATGGTTGCAGTAAACAATTTTTACCACAGGATGACATTTTTTAATTTCATTTCTACATAATGCACCTTTAATGTGTTGTTGATGTGAATCTATTATTTAGTTTCAGAAAGCGTCGCAACATCATCAACTGCCTTTTATCTCGTATCAGCTGGGGATGACCGTGATCTCAGCTCTGCTCTGTTACTGACCGCTACCACCTGACGTTTATGTTTGATCAGCAGCTCTGCTTCCATGCTGCTGACCCAACACAGCTGTCAGAACAGCAGGAACACGAACAAGGCTGTGCTTTTCAGCAATGAAGCCTTCCTAAATAAATCAAGTTTTTGAGGTTAAGAGACAGGAAGACACTTTAGGATAGATAATGATGTGAAAAACGTCCAGACACATGTTACAGGTGTAGCTAATGCAGTAGGTTTGACACGCTCTGCTGCTTTAAGTGGAAATGTGTGCTCAGTAAATAGGAGTGGTCTTCAAGGAGTATTATTTTCTCCTGAACCCTTCCAGAGAGTGAAGTTCAAAGTCTGACCCTGTATAACATTTCCTTGTTGTGAAAGCTTGTTTTGGATAAAAACTGGTTTGATTTTCTCTCCTTTTCTGTTTATCAGGTGCTGATGGCCCCCACCAGTTAAAAGTCTTGACTCTTCAGGCTGTGAAGTAACAACAACAACAGTGAACACGTACTTCAGCTGCGATGTCTGAGCAGGAGACAGCCATGTCACTCGCCAAATCAGGACCCAGACCAAAACCAGATGTCCATCCTCGAGTCTTTCAGCAGAATCACTCCTATACTCCTGCTGACGGAGCAAACACTTCAGGACTCCCTGAAGGAAAGGTCATGAAAATGGTCAACAAGATCTACAAACAGGACCACAGAGAAGTAGAGGAGCGTGCAACTAACGCTTATACAGAACTCCCGTCAGCTAAAAAGGCTTCTGTGATAAAGGCCACTGCTCAGTATCCCACAAACGCAGAGGAGGTCCCGCCGCTGCCCAAGAAGAGGAGCTGCTTTCCGAAGAGCAAGGAGAGAAGTGTGGGAGGAAAGGCATCCCAAGACAGCAGCGTGGAAGGAGGGCGATCAGGTAACGTAGATTTGATTCTGACTGCAAATCTAAAATATAAACCACATATGTTTCCTTCTGCCTTTACATTCACCTGAAACGCCACCTCCTCAGTCTAACGTTAAAAAAAGCACTTACTTGTAATTAAAATCTCTTAACATCGTGTCTATAGTGCAACAATCAGGTGACATTTTTGTTTTGTTTTGTGCTTGTGTGAGGTCATCCTGAGATGTTCACCTCCTGTATCATTTAACAGTTTCTCACACAAGTTTCACAAAAGTAGGACTGAGCGTGATGTTAAACCAAAGCGCAGCGGCAGGAACGAGTCTGATGGAAGGAACAACCTGACAGTATACTGTAAGAAACAAAGTGTTGCATTTACTTAAGTCAACTGGTTCCACTAAACCTGGTAGCTTAAATCTAAAGAGTAATATAGATGGTTATACGTCATCATGTCATAAGTCAGTGCACAGCATATCACTTCTTACACCTAACAGCCAGGTTTAGTGGAACCAGTTGACATAAGTTGTTTAAGCTAATTGAAACTTTCCTTTCTTACAGTGTATAATGTAGGCTAAGGAATGTTGTAAATAATAAAACACTCAGGATTCAGGTTTAGTGACTCGTGATGCAAATAAATTCCTGTCATAGTTGCTATTTCTGCTGCACCAAAACACATTCCTGTTTCAGTGCAGAAACCTGTTACAATATACCGATCGTACGACAATCCTGTTAAATATTTTGTGACGGGCCATGATAATTGTAAAATGCCACATGAGCTGTATTAATCATCACTTTTGATCCAGAGCAACAAAATTATCTTCCAAAGACACGTTACTCTGAATTCTTACTTCCCTTGTTTTGGTTTCCTGTAAACCTTTCTGGGTGTTTCCTGGAATCTCGAATCAGTATGTGTGCTGCAAACCGGCAGATAGGAATCTACAGTGGGGCAAAAAAGTATTTAGTCAGCCACCGATTGTGCAAGTTCTCCCACTTAAAATGATGACAGAGGTCAGTAATTTACATCATAGGTACACTTCAACTGTGAGACAGAATGTGAAAAGAAATCCATGAATTCACATGGCAGGATTTTTAAAGAATTTATTTGTTAATCATTGTGGAAAGTAAGTATTTGGTCAATAACAAAAATTCAACTCAATACTTTGTAACATAACCTTTGTTGGCAATAACAGAGGTCAAACGATTACTATAGGACTTTACCAGGTTTGCACACACAGTAGCTGGTATTTTGGCCCATTCCTCCATGCAGATCTTCTCGAGAGCAGTGATGTTTTGGGGCTGTCGCCGAGCAACACGGACTTTCAACTCCCTCCACAGATTTTCTATGGGGTTGAGGTCTGGAGACTGGCTAGGCCACTCCAGGACTTTCAAATGCTTCTTACGGAGCCACTCCTTTGTTGCCTGGGCGGTGTGTTTGGGATCATTGTCGTGTTGGAAGACCCAGCCACTTTTCATCTTCAAAGCTCTCACTGATGGAAGGAGGTTTTGGCTCAGAATCTCACGATACATGGCCCCATTCATTCTGTCCTTAACACGGATCAGTCTTCCTGTCCCCTTAGCAGAAAAACAGCCCCAAATCATGATGTTCCCACCCCCATGCTTCACAGTAGGTATGGTGTTCTTGGGATGCAACTCAGTATTCTTTTTCCTCCAGACACGACGAGTTGAGTTTACACCAAAAAGTTCTACTTTGGTTTCATCTGACCACATGACATTCTCCCAATCCTCTGCTGTATCATCCATGTGCTCTCTGGCAAACTTCAGACGGGCCTGGACATGCACTGGCTTCAGCAGCGGAACACGTCTGGCACTGCAGGATTTGATTCCCTGCCGTTGTAGTGTGTTACTGATGGTGACCTTTGTTACTGTGGTCCCAGCTCTCTGCAGGTCATTCACCAGGTCCCCCCGTGTGGTTCTGGGATTCTTGCTCACCGTTCTCATCATCATTTTGACCCCACGGGATGAGATCTTGCGTGGAGCCCCAGATCGAGGGAGATTATCAGTGGTCTTGTATGTCTTCCATTTTCTGACAATTGCTCCCACAGTTGATATTTTCACACCAAGCTGCTTGCCTATTGTAGATTCACTCTTCCCAGTCTGGTGCAGGTCTACAATTCTTTTCCTGGTGTCCTTCGAAAGCTCTTTGGTCTTGGCCATAGTGGAGTTTGGAGTCTGACTGTTTGAGGCTGTGGACAGGTGTCTTTTATATAGATAATGAGTTCAAACGTAACGAGTGGAGGACAGAAAAGCTTCTTAAAGAAGACGTTACAGGTCTGTGAGAGCCAGAGATTTTCCTTGTTTGAAGTGACCAAATACTTATTTTCCACGCTGATTTACAAATAAATTCTTTAAAAATCCTGCCATGTGAATTCATGGATTTTTTTTTCACATTCTGTCTCTCACAGTTAAAGTGTACCTATGATGAAAAGTACTGACCTCTGTCATTTTAAGTGGGAGAACTTGCACAATCGGTGGCTGACTAAATACTTTTTTGCCCCACTGTATATACATTCTTTGTTATTACAGGGGTTGAGGCTTATAAACAGTTTTTATTTATTTATTTATTTATTCAGTCATAACATTGCATAGGGCACAATCAGAGAAAAAGAAAATAAGTGAAAATTAAGAACCAACAACAAGATAATCACAAACCCAGTTCTTGATTCCTTGTGTAAAAGAGCCAATTTACTTGCTAATAATTTATGACCGAAAGGGTGTAGGCTGAAGTTTAAAGTAACACAGCCTTTTCCCGCTCCTGTGCCCTACTGGTTGAAAGTAGAATTTCAACTGTCGTAAATTACCCTGCTGCAGCCTGCTGTAGCTAGCGCTAACAATGAGCTAACACTAAAATGAGCCAAATAATACCATAAACCATGAAGGAAAAAAAATCTACACTGTTTGACAAAAAAATGATTACTTACAAGTCCAGCACCAACAAAGCCAGGTCACTATTAGTCCGTGATTTTGTGGCCTCCTTTAGCTCCATCAAAGTAGTGTAGGCCATGCGGATGTTCACTCTAGTTTTAGCTCTTTGCTTCACCTCCAAAGACATTACTCTCCTACTTAGGGCTGGGGGTAAACGATTATTTTTAAAACGATTATTCTGACGATTATTTTATCGAATAGTCGACTATTCTAATGACTATTTAGACAATTAATCAAATGGTTATTTTTCTATTGCATAGTTAATAAAAACCAAAAAATCTCTAAAAAAAATAATAAATTCCTCAAAAAATTTGATAAATTGTTACTGTAAGAGAATAAACACCACAGGCCTTCCATTTTGTATAACACTGCTTTAATTGGGAGTGCAGGCTGCTGCCTGAGAGGTGGTTGGAGATGGAGTGTCTCCATGCTGCTTTGTTTTGGTCACTTATGTGCGTGAGGCGAGTGGTGTTACGGCTCTTCCTGGGGAGTTTGGCTCGTGTGCAAAAAGGAAGGGACTATAACACGGGATTTAAAAGTGAAAATGATGATCAGGTTTATTTACAACTACAAAAAAACATAAATCTTTCCATCCACAGGTTGGGAATAATAAAACTAATTCTGCCTGTGGGGAATTAAAACAAAAGTACAAATGACTAGGGATGTCCCACTGGGCAAAGATTACAGGGTTCTGGACCAAAATAAGGATCTCCAAAGGTCCAAACTCTAAACTGGGTGGTTAAACCAAACTCAAGGTGATATTTTAAACTAAACCGAAAACCCACAACACTCTAAATCAGAGATCACTAATAGGCGGACCTGGGTCCGGATCCGGACCGAAATGCTGTCTGGTATGGACCCGAGCCTAATGCCAAAATAAAGTTCGCCTAATTGTATAACCGCTTATGGCCGGTGCAGCTATTGCATTCTTTACGGTAGTATTCTAGCATCCACGAACACCCACAGGCCAATTGTGCGCGAGTTTAGCCAGACCACGTGACACCAACAAGCAAATAACATGTTGCATTCCTGCAAGAAAATACAGGCGATACGTAGCGAAAATAAACTGTTCAGACGCCGGAGAGAAGGAGAGTGTCAGGTTCGTTGGCAGATCTGAAGCGTGACTGAGAGTTCTGTTGCCCAGACGCGGAGAGACGGAGATAGCCGGCGTGGTTATCTCCTGTAGGTGTAGTATGAGTGTTTTGAGGGCTGGTAAGCCTGGAGACTCGATACAAAGTCTGGTGAGAAACGATGACTGAGCAATGAATGAAACGCCGGCACTTCCTTAAGTAGTGCCGGCGTGATGACGTCAGTCGCCACGTTGGTGGCAGGAATGAATGGAATGCAGTCAGCTGGAGGAGTTCGTGACAGGACCCCCCCCTCTAGGGACGGCTCCCGAAGTCCCAGGACGGCGGGCCCAGAAGTCAGTCAGCAGGGTAGGGTCGACAAACGAGCTCGTGGGCTCCCAAGAGCGTTCCTCAGGCCCGTACCCCTCCCAATCCACGAGGTACTGCCAACCTCGTCCCCGGCGGCGAGCGTCCAGAATCCTGCGGACCGTGTAGGTGCGATCCGCCTCAACACCGCGGGGCGGAGGCACCCGGACCGGTGGAGGGTGGAGAGGAGAGGAGATCACCGGCTTAAGCTGGGAGACGTGAAAGACCGGGTGGATCCGGAGAGTAGCCGGGAGGCGCAGACGGCAGGTGACAGGATTGATGACCTTAAGGACGGGGAACGGACCCAGGAAGCGAGGAGTGAGCTTCCGGGAGCCAGCCGGCATCCTCAGGTTAGCGGAGGAGAGCCACACCTGGTCGCCAGACCGGAAGACGGGGCCAGGCCGGTGGCGGCGGCGATGCTGACGGGCATACTCCGTGTTGGCCCGGGTGATGGCCGCACGGGCCCGGATCCAGGCGAGCCGACAGCGGCGGACCAGCGTCTGGGCAGCAGGGACCTCCACCTCGGGCACCTGATGATCAAACAGAGGTGGCTGATAACCGTAACAGGTCTCGAAGGGAGACAGACTCGTGGCTGAGGAGGTCTGGAGGTTGTGTGACAGCTCCGCCCACAGGAGAAAGCGG